AGCTCACAAAAACATACCAGGCAGAACCTGATAGTGGTCTGAGCAACGTGGCCCAACTCACCCTGTTAATTTTCAGCCTCCTATTTTTATTAAAAGTACCAAACAAACTAGGCATGGAGAGAACTTGACATGGAAATCAGAGCAGGTACCTCGTGACTTCAGCTTGCTGCTGGCTGCAAAGAGCCTCTGTGTTGCATGTGACCAAAAAGCATCTCTGGGCATGATCCATGGGTACCAACCTTGCCCATGGAGATTGCCATCTCGACTTTGCCAACTCAAGACCATCAGGGTACCTCCTTGATACGTTGTCTGAAAGCACAGACTTGCATTGCAGAGGCACTGGCCACTAATATTTAAAGGCTACAACAAGGACACCTTGCATAGACAGTGAGGGAAGATGTTGCAGACAATAATGAGTGGCAGAGCATAAGTCTTGGTGGAAGGTGAGTGCTTTTCCAGAGATAGAGTGAGTGAGAGGTAGTAGAGAGAAGAGTGTGGCATCTAATGTCATGCAGCGGAGAAGGTAATTGATGTTCTTTGTACATTGCTGGCCACTGTGGATATGGCACAGGTGACAAACCTGAACAAAGCTGCCAGGGTTTGGTTGTGTAGCTTCCTCTGCTGTTCCTCTGAGAAGCAGGTTCCAATCCTTTCCACCACCACCTCGACTAAGGCCTTCAGGTCCCTATCTGAGAATCATGCTGCCACCTTCTTCTCCAAGATGCTCACAACTCCATCCTTGACTGAGCAGGAGAGCTTCAGAATGCCAATGCTTATCTGGAGATGTCGGTCTTTTGGTGGATATCCAGTGAGTGGCGAATGGTAAGTTGGAGCTGGAATTGGATGTAAGGGATGCTATTGGGTCAGGGTAGATATTGAATGAGGACAGCGTGTAATGATAAGGCGAGAAAACTCATGGTGAAAAACCCTCCAAAAATCCTGATACAACTGGGACTTTATGGAAAAAAAAAGTAAGATTCAGCCAAATGTGATAATCACCAGATAATTCATTTTTTGCGATGTTGAATGAAGGAAAAATATTGGTTTACTTAGGGAAGACAGTAGTTTTCATCCATGGGTGGTCCATGCCTGCAGATTTACTTGGAAGTCTGCTTGAATTTAAAGGCTTCTGCCCATTGCTGGTTAGATACTAGGGCCTCAAACCCATTGCCACTAAAGTGGTTACTTAAAGGCCTCAATTGGCTTCGACGTGGGAAGACCATCCTGGGCCAACCTGCCTCAGATGTAATCAAGGTGACTCAGGAAAGCAATGAGGTTTCCACCTCACAGCATCTCACTCAATTAATTGAGCCCCTTACCTTGCAACCCACCTTCAAGGATGGAATAAAATGCTGGCCTAGGAAAGATGAAATCATAGCAAGGTTGGTAAATGGGGATGAAAACGATAACATCTAGGCATTGAGTGGTGGGAGACTATGTGGGACTATGCTACCTCCAAGCAATATCAACTCAATGCACAGCATTAGTTTACATTTGAGTGTTGATGACATCCTAAAGTACCTCACTCAACTCCTCCACTGTTGCTTAACTATCACGCTCCCTGTCCCACAGCCGACACAAGACAAGACGGAGTTTTTTCCAAATAAATATAAAGAATACTGAAGTCATTGACATTGGTGCCCAATCTAAACTCTGTTCCCTGGCTACCATCTCCAGCCCTTCCCCTGGGAAATGTCTGAGGATAAATCAGACTGCTTACAATCTTGATGTCATAGCTAACCACAAAATGTTAAAACCACTAAGCCCACTTTATTTCCATCTTTGAAACATTGCCTGAATTTGTTCCTGTCTCAGTTCATGTTACTGAAACTGTTGCTGCCTTTATTTGCTCTGGACATGTTTATTGCATCGCAGTCCTAGCAGGTGTTCCATATCCAACTATTGCCTGTGCCTTTACTTATACCAAGTCCAGTTCATTATTAACCCTCTGCCTCCACATATATGTTGGCTCCTCGTCAAGCATTGTTCAAATTTCTCCAGCATCTTATTCCTCCATGTTTTTGTAACCTTCTCCAGTCCTATAATTCTTCAAGTTATCTGTAGTCCTCCAATTCTGCTTTCTTGCATACGCTTCATTTTAATTGCTTGACGGCCGTAGCTTCAGTGCAAACATCCTCAGCTCCTGAAATCTCTCTCTAAACTCTCTGTCTCTTTATCTCTTTGCTTCTTTCGGATGCTCATTAAACCCACCACTTTGACAAGATTTCAGTCACCTGCTGACATATATGTGGATCAGTGTCAATGTTGGTTCGATTAATGTGAAGTATCTTGGAACCTCTTATGCTGTAAGTCATTAAGTTCAAAATATTTGTCAACCTTTAATCACATGGGTTTTTTTACTACATCTTCTCCAGTAAGACCATAACATATAGGAGCAGAAGTAGGACATTCAGCCCACACTCGGCCATTCAATGACATTGTGGCTGATCTGATAATCTTTAATTCCACTTTCTTAACTTAGCTCCATAAACACTGACTCCCTTCCTAATTAAAAATTTCTTTCCCAGTCTTTAATATGCTCAGAAACCCATCCGCTACAGCCTCTGCAGTAAAGAATTCCAGACTCACTAACTTTAGAGAAGAAATTTCTCCCATTTCTGTTTTCAATGGACAACCTCACACTCTGTAATAATAACCTCTGGTCTTAACTCGCACACAAGTTGAAACAACCTCTCTGCATCTACCCTATCAAGCCCTCTAAGAATTTTTTGTTTCAGTAAGGTCTGTCCTCATTTTTCTGACCTCCAATGAGAACAAGCCAAATTTAGTTAACATGTTTTCATTAGAATATCTCTCCACTCTTGAATCAACTCAACCTTTTTTGAACTTCCTCCAATACCAGTATATCTTTTCTTAGACAGGGGCACCAAAACATTTACAGTATTCCAGGTGTAGTCTAACTAGGCCTTGTGTAGCTTTAGTAAATTCCTATTTTCATGCTCCATCCTTTTGAAATAAAGGCCCACATTTAATTTGCCTCCCTAATACCATCTGAACTTTGAAGCAAGCTTTTTGTGATTCATGCATTAGGACCCCAAATCCCTCTGTGCAGCAGCTTTCTGCTGTCTTTCCCAATTGAAATAATATTCATGGCTTCTATTCTTCCTGCTAAAGTGCATAAACAATAATGTCCATGATTTCTTTAAATCCCCCTTGATTTTCTACTAGTCTATTGATATTTTTGTGTTTGTTTTCATTGCAGAAGGCACAGAGAATTTCTTCAACTTCTCTGCCATTTCATTATTTAATGATTATTTTTTAAATAAAGATCGATGGCAGCAATATTCAATGTAACTGCTCCTTTGATTTTTGTATGTTTATAGATCCTTTTCCTTTGTTTCTGTTTTCTTGGTAGTTTTCTCTCATATTCCAATTTGTCCCTCTTCACTATTTCATCTACATTCTTCGCTGATTTCTAAAAAATGTTCCCAACCTTGTAACCTATCACTAAACTTTGCAGCATTAGGCATCTTTGCTTTCAATTTAACTTCCTTAGTCAGCCACAGATACTGAACCCTTTTCATAGAATCTTTTTTAATGGTATATACTTTTGTTGAGAGTTATGAACTACCTCCTTAACTGTTCACTATAGTTTTTATATATATTACCTTTTAACCTATTTCTAAGTCCAAATTATCTCACTCTATCTTCCTGTCTATTTGCCTTTCTATTTAAAGTTGAGACGCTCATTTCAAACCCAAACTTCCCTTCTTCAAACTAAATATGAAAGTTTCTCATGTTATGATCAGTCTTACCTAAAGGATCCTTTACTAGGAAGTAATGTATAAGCCCTGTCTCATTACACATTATCAGATCTAAAATAACTTGCTCTCTAGTTGATTGTAGAATGTAATTAGCAGTACTCACAAACAACCAAGCAATGTTTTGAGAATTTTGTAGCTAGTTTTAGTGCTAAGCAGTTGTACAAAACTCAGCCTTACAGCTGCAATATGTTACAAAGCATGTGGTTCTTTGACAATTTACAAGAAAATACTTTGTATTTTATACCGATATCCATATGTCAGATTAGTCTGAGAAACATTTTCAGGGATTTACGAAGGTGTTGTTGTAAGTACAGTACAAAGGTAAGTTCTTAGCTTTCCTTTCTGGACCTTTTCCTAGTTCAGCAACCAACACTCCACTGTGGAAGAATTCAGCTTTTTCTTTTGATAACCCACCACCAAATTACCAATCATGCCCACCAGGGCAATGCAACAATAATAAAAATGAAAAAGGGGGAAAACAAGGGAATGGATTAAACTAAACTGGAACTGGTAAGGGAGAAAATGCACCTGAACGCCTGCACTGCTCACTTCTCTCTGAGACCCCAGCTCCTAGATATTTTTCTAATCAACCTGTTCAGATGTATTATATCACAACTCTGGTGCAGGGGGGACTTGAACCTGGGATTCCTGGTTCAAAAGGTAGGGACGCTACCACCATGCCAGCCCCTAAATACAAAGGTCCAACTAACATCACTTGTTCTCAATCAACTCTGGAGTGGCTTTGTTTCAGACTTAAAGGATCCTGCATTTCTAACTCTTGACAGCTTCCATTTGTTGGGACAAAGAGCAATGCACTACATTTATGTGTATGAAAGGTTTGTGCATAAAATGTTGATATAACTTATTTATTAGATAACATGTTTAATGAAAATCAAAAAAACTTCACAGCAACAATGTTTTATTTCATGTAGGAATTATTCTTTTTTTTAGTATCTGGAGAATAAAATGTAAAACGGCTCTCCAACAGCCACAGATGCATCATATGCATCTTACATTCAAACAATCTAACGTGCAGGTTTATCATTAAGTAAAATTATAAACAGTCTAAGAGCATACTTGTGGACATTTTCCAAAGAACTCATCCTGCATGGCTGCCATCCATTCCTCTTTCTGAAATATTAAAGCAGTCACTGCAATGTTACTACATCACCCCTCAAAGTTATCTCTGATCAATAACAGAACCAAAGAACTCACCGCATTAAAATTTGGGAATAAGCTGACCGCGGCAGCAGAGTCCAGAGGGAATGGAAGAAATGGTTTAACATCCAAGGCCGGCTGCATAGCTGGGACTGGCGGCCGCATTAAGGCGGGAAGTGCATTGCTTTGGCATGTGCCGCCTGTAGAGAAGAGACAAAAAAGTCAACATTTGTTTTCGCATGCTCTTGTGTTGTTATTTTTGCATTCTGCACCAGACTAAAGACAACAGCCAAAACTGGAAAAAATAAGCTTAAGGAACTGTTTCAACCACCCACTTCAAAAAATACACCACAGCAACTTCACTGCAGTTATCACCGGCACCAGGAAATGAATAATAGCACAGACAGATGTCCATTGCTGATTAATCTATGGACCGGCAGAAAATAAAATATTTTGGATCGTTGTGCTCAGAGGAGTGTAATTCATTGAAGGTAATACTGACAAGCTGATCTCTGCTGATAAAGCTACACAAGCTGCTCACTACCCTGGGGTGAGCTCAAAACTGAAAATAGGCGCGATTCCAAGTCTCTGATCATCGAATTGAAATGAGTTTTTACATTCTGTGGGAAAAATATGCTAATGAGCAAAAAATCACAGTACATACTGATGAGCAGCAGTGTGTTTACATACCACTGCAAATGTGTAAATTTGTTTGCTTCTTGCCACAAGGCACAGTACTACCCTTTGTCAGCTGCCAAGAATATAAAATGGTTCAGACCTAAATAACACTGCGGTTTCAATTATTTTCCAAATTACAGTTCTTTTAATATTAATTGAAAAGTAACTGAGTCAAAGGATTGATGTTAAGAAAAAAAATAACTGAGTTACCATCATTCATGTCTGGGATGTATGCATTGGACTGTGGAAAACAAAATACGGCTGGTAGCTTTCCAAAAGATATTAAAATCGAAATGTGATGGGAATTTTTGATACCACAGAACATGGCTCATAAGTGAGAACACAATTTGGCCAGCTGACTTCACTTTCCTTTTTTTCATCATTTTTGTAATGTAGTTTGGGAATAAATAGAATATAATGTTTATTTTGGAGGCAATAACTACATTCAGGATCACTACAATTACTGTTTTAATTCAAACTTGTATTTGACAAAGCAGATTTATGCATATCATGTCATTCATGGAGAATCGATTTGATTTTTGTGGAGGCAAAATGGTAGAAAGAATTTTTTTTTTAAGAAGTAGTGATGTAACAAATGGACTGCTTGTTCTAAATATAAAAAAAGTTTGGATATGATGTAAAGCTAAGATTCTTCTGCCCAGCAACCTGCCTTAACTACAGAACCCCTGCTACACCAGATTCACATTTCCATTTCCCACACCACACATCCTTGAGGTGTCTCTCATTAAAGCTGCCAACTAAATGTCCAATAGTGCTGAATTATGGTCAGTTTCATACTGTGTATTTAGGTCTCCAGGCAATTGTATTGAGGCTGCACAATGTTATTTAACTGAGAAAGCTTCCAGCTGGCACCAGAAACAGACTCAATCCAAGTCTGAACTGGATTGAAATCGTGATGCCAGAGGTTAAAAAAAGTGTTCTTACCTCTTGAGTCATTTACCTCCCTATTGAAATAACACTGCAATGTTTAATTGTTGGTAACACTTAAAAGATTACACTTCCTCTTACGAATATGAAGTTTTTACTCAATGAAATCATCTGGAATATCAGCTGCATCTTCTGATGCTTTTACATCTATCTCAACATTGTACAAATTTGATATGCAGCTGACAGAAGATGTGAAACAGCATGCCAAGGTGAGTCACCTTCTGATTTTTCTTTTCCAGGACTGTTTCTCAGATCGGTGAAGGACAGGCCAAATGCATTCTTGACCTGAGCATAGTGAGTATTTTTTTTTGTGGCCAAGAGACTCAACATGACAGTTTTCCATCAAATTGTTTTTGATCCAAGTAAACAGAAAAGGCATGCTCTGCAATTGTTTTGTCTTTATAGACTTTCTTGGTAAGGAATACTGCAGTTGAAAATTACTTGTGCCAAGAGCCAAGTGAGCAGTTTCCTTTTCAATGTTCTGGCAATGTGCACAAAATAGCAATTGTTTACCTAGTCCTCCAGCATATGTTCCTTCTGGTCATTTGTCAAAGCTTTGCTTATAACTTCCAAGAATCCTCTATTCTTTTGTTTCTTTATGCTGCATTGCAAGTTCTCTTAAAAGCAACAGATTTCTCTCACTGAACACAGCAGGCCAAGCTGCATCAGAGGAGCAGGAAAGCTGATGTTTCGGGTCTAGACCCTTTTCTGAAGAAGGGTCTAGACCCAAAACATCAGCTTTCCTGCTCCTCTGATGCTGCTTGGCCTGGTGTGTTCATCCAGCTCTACACCTTGTTATCTCAGATTCTCCAGCATCGGCAGTTCCTACTATCTCAGTAACAAGATTTCTCTGACTCACTTTTCATTTCCAACATTAACTTCAGAAAAGAACATGATTATAAAAAGATAGTTGAAAATGAAGTGAGAAGAACTTCTTTTAACAATGATGTAAACTGATTGCACTTCAATGCACAAAGTGTCCTTAATAAAAAACAAGAGGAAGCTAGGCAGTTAGATGTTACAAGGAACCAGAGATAATCAGAATTATTAAAACTGAATTATAACCTTGGGATTTGCTCATTTGATCAGGGAAGAAGGCGGAGAAGACAATAGGTAGTAACATGTACAACTAACAAAGGCACTCAACTTCATCTTAGTGCAGTCTCACACTCATTCCTTACAGTGAACTTCCACAAATATTATCATTTTATCCTCTCTACATAATCTATTTCTAACATACCTATCTGTACTCTTTCTATTCTTGCTCAAGCATATAATTCAGAGACCTGGGGGTGACCCTCCAGTCATTGCCATTCTGACCACTGCAGAGGAGAAAGCAGAATTAACTTAGGGAGCAGAATAATAGAGGAGGCAGAATGGTGGAGGACATGTCCTTTAAAGGTGAAAAGATATGGATCTCCCAGACACATGCTTACTAAATTAAATATCTCATAGCTATGTGACACACAACACTTACTCTTGTTGACCTGATGCCTTCCCAATCTCCGGAAAATGATTGAATCCCTTCTCCTTGTCAATTCCAAATCATGTCATTATCTCCCGTAAGCTCATCAAATGTTACGCATGATCTGCAATAGCAGGAGGTCAAGAAATCCTCAGATGAGATCTGGCATTCTGTCTGAACACCATGAAATGCCTCATGTGCATCTTTCATAGCTCACAACCTGGTGAGAATGCCAAGGTGGGCAACTCAAGGTAAGAAGCACATCATATAGGGGCAGGAGCAGGTTTTCGAAACAGAGACACAGTAGAGGGTCTCTGACACCTGGACACAAATGCCAAGAGTCATGGGTGATTATTTAGAGGAAAATTCTAGAGCAGCAGCAAAAAACACACGGGATTGTTCAGCATCTCCAAAGACATTGTGCACTATTACTAGCCTGATTTCTACAATGAATCAGTCATTTGTGTTGCTGTTCACCCTACGGATGGAATAACCATTTGCAATGAGTACCTGACATGGCAGGTAACAGAAAGTTTGTTAAATCTGATCAATGGCCTACAAATACAGTTTCCCGGTACTTACTCCAATCATCTGGGATAAAGAATTCCAAAGATTCACAAGCCTCTAAGTGAAGGGATTTCTCTGCAATGCTTGACACCCTTATCTTGAGACTGTGTCCCCATGTTCCAGAAGCCTCAGTCAGTGGAAAAAACCTTTCAGTGTCTTTTTGGTCAAGTCCTTTCAGAATCAGGTTTTAAGCCTTTTAAAGGAATTTTGTTTTTCTTATTAAAAGTTAATAGGGTCATACTTCCCCACAATATACTCTATTTGCCACCTTGTTGCCCACTCACTTAGTTACTCATACGTCTTTGTAGTCTCTATGTTTTCCTCACAGTTTACATTCCCACCTCGCTTTGTTGTGGAAGAAACTAAATTGACTGCATTTGTGACCAGTAACACCACTAGGTGAATTAATGCAGCTTCATGCACAAAAATGGAGCAACACTTGGAGATTACCTAACAAATTGCTAATTGTTTTTTTCATATCACTCCCTCTCCCTTTTATAAGAAACAAATAAGAAAACGTAGTTCTGTCAAAATCAGTTTAGAGCCATACCAAAAGTGGTTGTAATTATCGTCTTAGGCCAAATAGTCTCAGCACACAATTATGGTCTATCATTTGGATGGTCAAAACAATCTAGTCAGATAACTTGATGGGACGAAATTGGCTACTAGCTTTTATTTTGATTTAGACACATGAATTTTATGTTTCATTAAATATATACTTAGAGCAATAATGTGAATAACTTAAATGTTTGAAGAGTTTTCCAAAGAGTTGTTTGTTCCAAAGACTTCCTTCCAACTAGCAAGTCTTTATTACAGTAGAGTTGAAAATACACGTGAAAAGAGGGCAAATGTTTTGCACAATACTGTCAGCTTAGTGTCTTATTCAAAGCAGTTCTTTTCTTTCCTGCTAATGATGTGATGTTAACGGTGCATCTGTGCATGCACAGATAGGTCATGGTGACTGCGTTTAGGGGTGGAGCCTTATCTTCTGTGTTGAAAACACACTGAATTCAGATACTTTATCCTTGGTCTCTGAATGAAACTTATTAATATAGATTATAAATGACTGAGGACCCAGCACTGGACACATTTCTAATCTATCAGGACCATTCTAGAGTATGGGAGATTTTGGAATATTGTAAAAAGTATTCACTAGCTCTGCAACTACCTCCTTTTAGACCCTTAGCGAAGTAAGTTCTCAGATCCTGGTGATTAATCAGTTTTTATTCCCCCAGATTTCTCCAATACTAGGTTTTAAAGTCAGTGCAGGGTAGAGGAAGGGGTGATTTACTCGATCAATAACTGGAGTGAATAGGTTTTCTTAAGAGCATAGGTTCAACATGCTGGCTTCGTTTTCAATGGAGTTTAGCAGAGTGAGGTATGACTTGATTGATGTGTGTGGTGATGAATGATCTTGGCAGGGTGGACATGGGAAGGATTTTTCCTTTTGTGGGTGAGTTCAGAACTAGAGGCACCATTTTTAAAATTGGGGGGATCACCCTTTTAGGAGCGAGATAGAATCACAGAATCCCTACAGTGCGG